CTGTCAGTCCAACCCCTACAGATTAAGGACCGGTTTGATCATTCTCTCTACAGAACATACTTTCAATTATTGTAAGCTGATAACTGTTGCAAACTTGAGAAATTTGCATGGTAGACGGAAATAAAGTGAATGAATCACTACTCTTCAGTATGTTACTTGACGTGACTAGATTCCTAATGGATTTAGGCAACAACACTCACAAGACATGATGAATGAGTTTTATTGTTTTTTGATCAGTGAAGAAGATGTTAGATGTTGCAAGGGTAATCAACAATGATTGAGTTTTAAATTTATGAGATTGAATAGTTTCCACGGCTCTTTAGAATAAGAGCCTCCAAATTTATGGTATTTTGACTTAACCACAAGTTGACAAAAGTAATATTTGGAAGTTTGTAACTGCCAATTGTCAATCACCAATCAGGCAATTTCAAAGAGATGTGTCTCAGTGAGAAGTAGACAACACACTTCCAATATCATGTATTTACTAGTGGATATATCTAATGAAATACCTTTTGAAGGTGCTATGCAGAGAAGATCTTAAATAAAATTAGCATACTCTAAATGTTAAGTGTCTTGGTGCCAAATAACTGGTGCTCTGCTAAAAATTTAAAAGCATCAGAGACTGCACAGGCACTAAAACTTCGGAGAGAGTACATAGGTAGTAGGCACTACTAACAGAGAGAGTACCTGCCCAACTCAATGTTTACGCATTATAGACTAGACACCGTTACAAAGATCGGAGATTTCACTCAAGCTGGTCCAGCAACAGCTCAACAGCAACATTCTTTCACTAAATGTTATTATGGCAGTTATCAAGGTAATTCAAGTCACAAGTCCCCAATATAGTTAGTATTTGGTCTAAGCTAAAAAACCACACACAAAAAAAATGAAACAAAAAGATAGCACCATTCAAAGTAAGATGCTGAATGCAATAACTATTTGTTTGAACTTGTTCTTTAACAATTTTGCAGTTCAAAGGTTTGGGAAAGTCGTTAGCTATTGCACCAACCTAGGAACACACTGACCTGACCTCTAACAAATAACATAACCACATCCAGTATTACATCAAGTTATTGAACTAAGCTCTAGTATGTAATTTTTATCTTGTTAAAAATGTCATCATGAAACATTCATTTTGCAGCAACAAAAAGTTTCACATCAATCTGAATTGATTTTCATGAAGGAAAAAGAAATGTCTTCGAAGCAATAAAACAAACACCTGGTGTGCGCAAACATAATATCAAAAAAATTACAAATAACATTGAATAAACGCAATAATATGGAGATTTGAGGGGTTATACCAAAAGCACCGGAAGGTGTAGCTTTGGCTTGGATAATCATAGTAGATATGAACGAAGAGGCCTCAGTTGCATCCTCCAATAGCCTCTGAATATCAGCCTCCGATGAGACGTGGCGATTCTCCTCGAATTTCTTTCTGACCTCGGCGGCGGATTGTTGGAGCATGAAAGTATCTCCGGCGAAGGCTTTATGAGTGGCCTTCAACACTGATCTGTAAGCTCGAAGGGCTTCTACTGCTCTTCCACTCGCCATTTTTTACTGATCAAAATGGTCTTTGGGGTTGGACTATTTTATTTTGATCTTTTTATGTATACCATCTATTTTTTAAAAAAAATACTTCAGAGGTAGATCACATATAATTGATATAATAATTATTAATATATGAAATAATAATCATTTTATATTTTAATCAACCATAAAAAATAAGAATGTTAAGTAAAAAATTGTTTTAAGTTTTGATTAGAAACTCATGTAAATTCAGTAAGAACATGAAATGATAGTGAAATTTTTCAATCCTAACTAAACTTTTACCATGAAAAGAAATATTATTTTTGCCATCTTTAATGATAATTTTCCTCTTAATAATTAACATATATTTTTTATCTTTATAGATTTTTAAACTAAAATATATTATATGTAAAAGTTAATAATAATTTTTTGGAACAATAAATATTATGAGATGAAAAGAGTTAATGTCTTCGCGAATTATCAATTTAAGTAATACGAATCAAGCCGATCTTTTTGTCATTCTATATAAATCTAAGCAAGTTAATAAGAAGAATTATAAACCATTATAAATAAATCTAAGCAAGTTAATAAGAAGAATTATCAACCATTATAAATAAAAATAGAGTCAAGTGATTGTTATTTTCATGATACATGAAAAGACAGAGTGAAGCCTAATGCTTTTAACTGACAAATACAAACAGAAAGTATAATATATCTTCAAATAAGTGATATTAATAATTTTTTTTCTTCTAATTGATAATAGAAAAAATTGTATATAATAGCAAATTAATTATTTAAAATAAATCGAATAGTTAGAGTTTGATTTAATTGTGCTCCATAGCAAATATTAGCTAATATTTGTCAGCGTCTCTTTCCCAGAAATCTCGCTCGCCTCTTTCTGTTCTCGCTCACCTCTCTCGCTTTATACATAGAAGTGTATAATTCTGTTTCTGTTTTGTATAAAGCGAGAGAAAATTATATATACACATGCAAAAATATATATCTTCGTGTTATACACTCAATTATACAATTTACAAACATTTCACTTCAAATATTGCAGAGAAAAAGGTCAACGAATTATACAATTGCGAATTATACAATTGCAGTGAAATACAATTTTCTCTAGCTTTATACAACAACAATGTATATATTGTGTTTCTGTTTTTGTATAAAGCGAGAGAAAAACATATATCTTCTTGCTATACACTTATAATTATGCAATATACATACATTTTAATTCGATTCAACTATGTGCCAAGCAAATTTTATAAAAAAATTGCAGCGAAATAGGCAGCGAATTATACAATTGTGCGTTATACAATCACAGTGAAATAGGATAGCAAATTATACAATTGCAGCGAAATAGACCAGCGAATTATACAATTTAGGCTAGGGAATTATATAATTTTGGCCAGCGAATTATACAATTATATATGTATAGCGAATTATACAGTTTTATGTTTGCTATGGAGTGCAATTATGCAAACTTTGCTATAACATACAAATATGAATTTTTTATTTGCTATATATGAAAGTTGCCCTTAATAATATGAGTTTGATTACATTCAAAAATTGTGGTTTAATGGTAGATAAATCACAACAGAGACCATAAACACTAGATGGTCTTTTTATTTTTTCATGAACCAGAATTAGTTGGTGGAAGTTTTTAAAAAAAACTACAAGGGTCGAACTGTTAAAAGATATAAACATGGAGGGGTTAGAATTAGTTGAAGTTTCAAAAGGAAAACTACAAGGGTCAAACTGCTAAAAGATATAAACATGGAGGAGTTATTTGCAAAATGAGGAACATGCTGTTTGCTTCACTATATCCCGCCCGACTTCATTTCCTTAAAACCCTAATCTTCAAAATTTCCTCTTCTTCTACGCTTTCTGCTCTCGATCTTCCCAGGTATGTTCTCTAATGGAGGTTACGTAAATCGTTTTTTTTAGCTTTAATTGATATAATCATCAATATATCGTCAAAATATAGTTCAATTTTTTCCTTCTTTCCCATTTACCTTGCTTGTCAATGCAAAAATGTCCGGGTTGTATAAATTAATGTCAGTAAAATTGTGGAAAGTTGCTTTGTTTATTCTTTAGATGATCAAGATACGTTTCTGCGACTGAAATTGGTTTTGCAACTGAATAATTACTAGAGTTGAAGCTTTTATCCTTTTTCTTTTCCCGTTTTGTCCTTAGAGAGAATGTATGAACTGTTTTAAGTCGTTGTTGTTTTTTGCTTAACTGCAAGAGGTGCTTTTTTCTTGTCCTTGTGGTCAATTAACTGCAAGAGGTGCTTGTTTCTTGTTTTTGTGGACAATTGACTGCAAGTGAATGTGGTTTTGCCTTTCAGGAACAATGAGTCGGTCGAGTAGGACACTTTATGTTGGCAATCTTCCTGGTGATGTTCGTGAGCGTGAAGTGGAAGATCTCTTTTACAAGGTGCTTATACTCTAGATGGCTCCCTACATTCTTTGATATCATTTCATAATGCTTATAAACAAAAAGAAAAATGATTAGAAGTAAAATTATGTTTTTGAGTGAAATGGGTACAAATAGAGTGGTATGGATATAGGGAATTCATTATCGACAAACTCAAATTAAGGAGTATTTCTTTTGTAAGGCTTGTGCACATGTTTAATTGTTCTGTCACAATTTAACAGATTTTAACTGTTAGAAACTTATAAACAATTTGATGTGTGAGTGCAGTATGGACCGATTGCACATATTGAGCTGAAAATTCCACCAAGACCCCCTGGTTATGCTTTTGTTGAGGTGAGTTTGAGCTGCCTTGGTTCTGATGGATTTCATTAGATCAGCCTGCTATGCGCCTTTTAAAGCTATTCTGACCTTTATATTGGCCAAAAACTATAACAGTTTGAAGAGGCTCGTGATGCTGAAGATGCTATTCGTGGTCGTGATGGCTATGATTTTGATGGGCACCGTCTGCGGGTCGGTCAAACTTATAGTTAGCGTATAGTTTACACAAGGTTACTAGTTTTTGCCTTGTTGGATGTTGAATCTATTACAATTGCTCATACTGGCAGGTTGAGCTTGCACATGGCGGGCGTGGTAACTCATCATCAAATGATCGTTATGGTGGTGGCGGTGGCGGCCGTGGTCAGCGTGGTGGAGGAGTGTCAAGACGTTCAGATTATCGAGGTGTGTCTTATGGGTTATGTGCTTTCTACATTGGAATACATGTTATATCTTTTCTTATGTTCTGATATCTTTTGTTGTATTTCAGTGTTAGTTACAGGATTACCCCATTCAGCATCGTGGCAGGATCTCAAGGTGAGTCGGTGTCTTTGAGTTGTGAATCATAGGGACTTACCAAGAAAGTGATCCTCCTTTCCCTCAAAATTATTCTGTAATTTCTGAGTATTGTTAACTTTTATTTCTTATGTAGGATCACATGCGCCGTGCTGGGGATGTTTGTTTCTCCCAAGTTTTCCGTGACGGGAGTGGTAAGATTTAAACAGCTAATGGCAGATCTACTTTTTCTCTTTGAACTGGTATAATGGTTTAACTGTCAAGCACACGGAACTCCTCCATGTGGAATGGCAACCTACAATGATACACCAAGCAATAAGTCTTTGATGTGAGCTTACAATGGTACTCACTAATTGTACTGATGATTTGGAGAAAGACCTGTATACAAACTGTATATCGAAAGATGGAGAATTCTACTGTAACACACTATTCCTCTTCTTGCTCATCGTGGTTGACCTGTCATAGGAATAGGTTAAGGATACTTTTCTTTATATCATAGTGTAAATTAATGAGTTTATAATCAAGTATTATATTAAGGGTGCAAGTCTGTCATTGTTAATTATTACTGTCATTCTTTTTATATTTAGAGCTTTGGTAATAACTGTGGGTTCATACCTGGGATATCTGATAAATTTGGAAAAATGCATAGGATCTATGACTCATAATTTGGGTTTTCAGTATAAGCTGATAAGTCTTTCTTTGTCTAGAAAAATGTTATATTGAAGGAAAAATAATATAGGAGAGATCATCTCTTCAGAAAATGTAGTGGAAATAATCATCGACATATTGATAACAATATTACTTGATGAAAACAGGATAAGGTCTTGACAAACTGGAGGGGAAAATATGCAGGTGGAGCAAAAAATTGGGAGGAAAGATGGAAAACTAAATATAAAAGAAACACTGAGTAGGAAAGAAGCACAAGTTAGATGTGTTATGGTTCCTCGAGGGTAGGGTGGGGTGGGGAGACCAACGTTGCTGCAAGCTTGAGGTCGGGGTAGGTCAAAAACCTAGAGGTGTTGGGGCATCATTGGTTGGTGGCTGGGTGAGGGCAAGATAAGTTCTGCTCTCAGGAAGAAATGGTGAAAAAGATGAAGAGAGATGTGTATTTTTGTTGTCTTCCCATCTAAGAATGTCTCGCCCTTGCCCATCTATTGTCCTCTTTTGCTCTTCTAATACAATTTGTTAATTTGGATTATGATCCTGTTATTTATCCCATTTTTTTCTGAGGACTATCATCCCTTGAGACAATTTAAAAGCTGGTTATCGACTGTGCTGCCTAATGTTTGGTGGTTGGTTGGATAAATTTGTTTAGACTAATCTGATGCACCTGATGACCCCATTAACTTGTATGATGTTTTGGATTTCTTTCCCCGTTTCTTTTTGAATTTTATTTTGGTACAACTGTTTGAAGTCTTTAACTAGATGCTAACCCAATGTGCCAAAATGTTCCCACGCTCTATGTTGATGACTGCATATGCAATTTTCTCCTCTATGATTCATTTCTACGTTTTCTGATCACGTGCAGAACTTGTCATATTGGAGGGTCCACTTTTGTTTTTTAAGGGAATGAAAATTAAGAGGAAGCAAATGATATTTGATGTAGGCCGAGAAAACTTGTTTTTTGAATCTTTTTATTGATATTTTTTGATTCTTTTTTGGTTTCAGTAAACATTTTGGTGCGATTTGCAAAAGACAACTTTTGTTTTAAGCAACAGTTGTTTTTAGTTTCCTGTAAAACTTCACCATAAATTTTTCTAATTCAAGTTTACCATAAACTATTGTGATCTAACTATTCCTAGAGTTTTCTGAATCCATAATGGCACACAAAATCGCTCTTTGCTTTAACTTGTTAGTGCACAATGCTTATTTTTACCCTGTAGGAAGCATCTTGATCTTCATATTACTGTCATTTCTGGTCCACAAGTTATTCTGATATCAACAAATTTGCTTGGACTTTCAGGAACCACTGGTATAATTGATTATACAAACTATGATGACATGAAATATGCTGTAAGCCATCTTCTCTTTTCTCCTTCCCTTTAGTTGGGTTTCCTTCACCTTGATGCTGTTGACAATATTTGATTTTTCCTTTATACAACTAAGAGGTGCAGCTAATATTATCCTTTCATGTGTATAGATCAAAAAGCTTGATGACTCTGAGTTTCGAAATGCCTTTTCTCGTGCGACAATTCGAGTATGACACAAACAATTTTCAATTTCTTCAATTATCGTGTTGATGCCGTCATTTGCTATTCTCAAAACCTCCACCTTCTGTAGGTTAAAGAATATGACCGCAGTCGAAGTCGCAGCCGCAGTCGCAGTCGCTCTTACTCCAGAGGGAAGAGTGTTAGTCGAAGCCGAAGCCGTAGCCGAAGTAGAAGCCGAAGCAAGAGCAAAAGGTCTAACACATTACACATATATGTCTGGACTAGTGGTTTTACTTTAATGCAAATAGGGCCTTATTAATATTTGTCTTAGCAGCAAATCTCCTAAAGTTAAGTCTTCAAAGCGCTCAAGATCTCGTTCAAGGTCTGTGTCTTCTCAGTCTCGTTCTGGGTCAAAAGGACGTCCTGTCTCAAGGTAATATTCTGCTTTCTCTTTCTGTTTTTGTTTCGGGATGGGTATAAAAGCATTACATAGTACAAGGTTAATATTTGCATAAACTGCAAATCTTTCATTCTTTATTATCTTATTAGAGTTCTTCAATTTCTCAAGTTGTTCTTCACACTCAAAGTATTGTTGATTTAAGATCTTTAAATCTAAAATGCTCTTGCAGTTGATTACTTTGCCTTTTATCTTCTATGTTATTGTTAGTTTGATGTGCTCACTGCAAAGTTCACATCAAAATGGTGTAGACTCCTGGGTGCTTTAGTCTTCTTTGTTTAACTTGTCCTTGATGCTTTCCCCTTGGTTCTTTCTAAACAATATAGCAATGAGAAGCTATTAGTCTCATATATCATGCATAAAACTCCAAATCCAATCTTATTTGTTTTTTATTATCTTGTCCCTCTAACACAATCTTGTGGTAATTTGTCATATGTGGGGGTACAACGGATTTATGGTAAGTTGTAGAATACAATTTTCCAAAGGTTGCATTTTCTGGCGGCAATCTAGTTGGTAATGTGTAGTTCTGCATACTCTAGTGGGACAACGTGTAGTTACATTTATGTTATTTTCTTCTGTTTCAGGACGGATTTTAAGGGGTTTAGAACTTGCAATGACGTTATCAAACCATTAGAATCAACCAAATGATTGAAAACTATGGTTTCTCACTTTTTTTCTCCATTTTTTCCCCCTATGAAACAAGATTTCATATTCATTTGTTTCCTGCTATTTCAGGATTTTCCAACTATGTTTGCTGATCAATGTGTAACCATTTAGTAAAGACTGGTCATTAGATAGGTTCATGTCTGTTGAAACAAAATTAGAAATTGGAAAGGTTTAGGTCTGAGCAATACAGAAGTAAAGTTTAGTGTTTGAAGGGGAGACTTGGTTCATTTACTTAAGTCATTTTGGAACTGTATTCTAGGGGAAACATACTGCCTTATCAAGGTGTCGTCTTTTATCGTTTCTTTTATAAGTATGAAAAGTCACCTTGTTTGTTTTTCTAGATTTTGGATATGTGCGGCGGTTTGTGGATTTGCATATTAGGATCTTGAGTGGATAATGGTCTTGCCTGCAACTCTTTTTGTTGTGGAGGTACGATGTTTTCTAGATGGCAGCTTTGGGTCTTTTTGTGATGTCTCTCTTCTAATGAGCATCGTGAAATGTTCCATGGGTGCTAGATTGGGATCATGAAGATCACGGATTCTATGGTGGAGCTGGACTGGGGAACCAACTGCCACCTGAATTTGGATCACCACCTATTTTTTGGTAGAAGCATGTTCTAACAAAGCGAAATAAAGACTAGTTCATTCTTTTGGTATCCTGCTAATTGGTCTCTTTGACTGCTCGAATTTAAAATATTACATAGTCTCAATGGTGTAACTTGCATTGTTTTATACTTGCCATATTTTCCACTCTGGATTCTGCCAAATTGCTACTTTCATTATGGTCATGCTGAGGTGGAAGTGAAATCAAAGCAGTTGTGGAGGAAACTTGTTAAGTGGCGGGACTGGGATATTAAATTAAGTTCTTTCTGGAAATTTTGCAGATCTCCATCAAGGTCCAGATCACCAGCACCAGCTGTAAGTCAAATCTACATGTTTTAAAGTGAACGGAATAACCCAAAATTCAAATATATTGGGATCATCCGTCTTGTCTGTCTTTTTTTTGTGCTTACCTGGCCTTTTCAAAGTACATTCTCTCTTTTCTCTGTCTACATAATTATTGCTTTGTATTATGACTGGGTTAATTACAGCGTTCAAAACAATTAAGTGAAAGTCCCAAAAGACGCACTCCCAGCAGTAGCCCCAAAAGACGCACTCCAAGCAGAAGCCCAAGCCGGAGTAGGAGCCGTAGCCAAAGTTTGTCCAGGTCTTACTTCTGTGGCTTGTCGTATATCTTTCAATGTTTGACCGTTTCGTTAATTTTTTCTCCTCGCCTCTTTTTATAGGTAAGATTGCTGGAATCATCAGTGATTGAGGGTGCCATCATGCTGTGTTTGAGCAGCCTGGTCCACAGTTGGGAGCCCAAGTGACCGGAAGAGTCTGTTGCTCTGCTTACATCAAAATATTTCTGTGTCATTGAACCATGTCAAGACTGTAATAATTATTATACTTGTTTTTGTAGCTCTTAATCTTGGTAAAAGACTGCAATATAGTAGATGATATTGTGAAAAACGGAATTTAATTTCCTTGAATTGCAGATTATTGTTGGTCGACTGATGGCTCTGGTATTGTTTTTACGGTACTGCTTAATTTTTTTTTTTTTCATTTATAAAGTAATATGGGTATCATGATCCATATGAACTTTGGTTATTTTTGGGTGTGCAAAGTTGATCGTGAACTAGTAAAAGTGAACGGTAGTAGTAATCCATTTTCCATGTGTATGAAATAATGTGATTAAAACGATACGTTGCAAGGTGAGACAATATTAAAGTGTGTGATCTTTCATATGGAATATTGGGACGTGAAGATACGTTTGTCCTTTTCATTAAAGAGAATAATTTTTATATATATATGTGGAGGAGAATGAGTGAGATTTTAGGCAAATGGAAAACCAGACATCCCAATATTGATGAGGTTCATTATTGGGGAAAGTGGGTCATATTTTGCCTGTTTTTTATTCTTTTCTTTTCAATAATACTCGTGAGAATAATGTTAAAAAAAATTAATTGAACATTATCTATTTTTTAAAAATTATTTTTATGGAATAATGTTATTCTCTTTGCTAAATATGTGCTGATCTATACGAACTTATAAATAGAGTTACTTATAGAATTTGTTTTTTATGAAAATATTTCCAATTATTTTATCAACATCGAAAAAATACGGAAGAGACAACCATTTATTTTAAAAATATTTTCCTTTAAACACCAAAAACACCCTTAAGAGGCTGTTTGGATTGACAAAGCTATAAATTAGAAATTCTAATTTTTAATTTATTTTTACTATTTTGACTTAAACAAAATGCTTATAAGCACTTTTCATTTTAACAAAAAAAAGAATCCTTTAAATCTAATTCGATTTCAAATTCCAAAAAGTGTATGTCTAACAAGCAAAATTTCATTTTCAACATGATTTCTAAATTTCATTTGAAAAACAAATTCTTCTGGAAATCCTGAGGTGAGAAAACAATCACATAACTCACATATATATATACTAGATATTATGTGCTCGCATCAGCGCATGTTCAAACGTAACTCACTGATCAATATATATATTATGTGTTTGTACCAACA